GCAGGGGTTATTTTGATTTTCTATTTGTATCTCTAGTACTTAGCACAATAATTGCTTAATAAATGCTTTCTAAATTCATTCACATGGAATTATTTGTTCTTTTGAAAAATTTCCATGGAACAAAGAAAACAAGAAAATCCTACCTCAGCCCAGTATGAGCTGCTGGAAGATGAAGGAGATGGTGATGCCAAGCAGAGAGACATCTAGGAAGCTTGTCATTTTCTTTGCTATGTACAACAGAAACTCAGGAGGGGATTCAAAAGGAAGATAGCCTTGGAAAAATTATTATTTGAGGTCTTTAAGAATATGAATCAGTAGCGGTAGCTAGGTGGTGCAGTGGATAGAGCACCAGCCCTGGATTCGGGAGGACTGGAGTTCAAATCTGACTTCAGATACATAACACTTACTAGCTGTGTGACCCTGGGCAAGTCACTTAACCCCAATTGCCTCCCCAAAAGAAAAAAAAAGGTGACATTTAAAAAAAAAGAGAATATGAATGACTGTCTGGCATGTCTGATATAGAGTGATTTCCCAAAAGGGTTGGACTAGATGGCCACAGAGGTCGTTTCCGGCTCTCAAATTCTGTGGTATTTGAGCATCCGGGGAATAAAGCTGTGATAGTTTTGCCACGCTCTGTCCTGGTCAGACCACATCCACAGTATTGTCAGTTCTGGTATGTTTTATGAAGGATATTGATAAGAATGCCCAGGAGGGCAATCAGGATGATGTTTTTTTTCTTCATGTTTTTTCCCCTTATTATTGGTTGAAAGAACTGGGGAAGTTTTTCCTGGAGAAGGATTTTGGGAGAGGCACAGTTGCTTGATAGTATTTAAAGTACTGTCATGTGAAAGAAGGTTTAGACTTGCTTCAGTTTAGGCTAGTTGTAAGGAAAAACTCCCTAAATAATTAGAGCTATATGAGGTGAAGTGAACTGGGAGTAGTGTATACCCCTTGGGTTAGAGGTCTTTGAAGCGGTGCTGGATGGCCTCTTATCAAGTATTGTACAGTGTGGATTGTTTTTCAGAAATTGGGTGGACTAGATGTTCTTTGGAATTCTAAAATTGTAAAGAATGTACGTTACAAGAATATTCAGGATTATTACAGCCAAACAGTGTTTCCCGAGATAAGTGGTGAAGAATTCCTGAGAGCCAGCTGGAAGCTCTGGAGAGAGCAGGGCAGGTTTGAGGGGATGCTTTCTAGAATCTGGAGGATGAGCATTCTTCTCACTTCAAGGAGTATTTCCTTCTCTATCTTACCTTAGGCTGTTAACAACACAGAGTTCTTGTTCCTAAGGAATGCTGTTTAAAAGATGGATGAAACAAAAGGAAATTCTAGCATTTTATATATTTTATAATAATATAATATAATCATATAATATATTTTATATTTCTATAGCACATAGAATATTTTATTGGAAATTGGAATTATTTATTGGAATATTTTTGGTTACATTTTCCACTAAGTCTGGATTGTTGTATATAGAGCTAGAATGAGGAAGTACTCAAAGGGTAAGAATTTGTTGTTGTTTAGTTGTTTTTTTAGTTGTGTCTAAGTCTTTTCGATCATTTTTGGAGTTTTCTTGGCAAAGATAGTTTGCCATTTCCTTCTCCAGCTCATTTTACAGATGAAGAAACCAAGGCAAACAAGGTTAAGTGACTTGTCCAAGGTCACACAGCTAGTAAGTGGCTGAGGTTGCATTTGAACTCAGGGCTTCTTGATTCCAGGCCTGGTGCTCTATCTCCTGTGCCACCTATCTGCTCTAGTAAGAATTTAACTAGGTGAAAAATAAGGCTTAGTTAGGGGAAATTATAGAAAAACAAGGTTGAGTAGTAGAGAGTTCAGACACATGTCAACTGTTTCAGCATCTGGTTGAGTGATCCTCAGACTGATGTCATATGAGACATTCTGGGGATAGAAGTAATTTCAGGGAAGAGGTTGTTTTTCTGACCTGGAGAATCCCTGGATAGCTGTGCAGCCTGCTGCTATTAGGACCTGGGATGACAGTGAGAGACAAAGAAAGCCCATCTGATAATACCATGTCTGATTACTACAGCTATCAAGCTCAATTTTTGAAAATCTTATTTCCTTAATTAATAATGTACCTATATTCTTTGATGATCTTGGAAAAGACATAATTAGCACTATTGTAGTCTGAGAATATTCATTCTTTGCCGGATCCTGAACCTGGGTACCCTCAAGGCTAATCATAAAAAAGTTCTTAATTGTAAAATTGAAAGTGCCATTAGAAAATCTTTGTTAAATTAAATTTTTAAGTATTTCAGAGAATTTGTGTTGCTTCCTGTGAAATCTCAAGCAAGTTGCTTCGTATTCCATTTCACCTCATATTCCTTTGCTGTAAAATGAGAGATTTGGCACAAGTGATATTGTCATAGAATCAAAGAATTACGGAATTTCAAAGTTGGAAAGTGATCATCAGATTAAATCCACAGTAGAAAAAGAATTCTATCTACAACATTGTTTGTTCACATTTTGCTTGAACTTACTACCTCCTGAGATTGCCTATGCCACTTTTGAAAAACTTTAGTTTTTAGGAAGCTTAATTCTTATTCTAGTTCTGACTGGATCCTTCCTTATATGGCATGAAGACCTCGTGATCATCCTCTTCTTATACTCATCCAATACAATCCAATAAACATTTGTTAAGTACCCACCACCAGTAAGATACTGTGCTAGGTGTTAAGGATAATAAAAGGGTAAGAGCACTAGTGTTCAAATCTTAGGTCTGTCACTTAGTACCTTCTGTACTAAGAAAGTTCTAAGAACTTTCTGAGTGGCAACACCTCATTCTTTTGTCCTTGTAAAATCAATTTATTTAATCCACATATAAAAATTTACATTTATTTCTATTAAATTTAATCTTACTAGATTCTGCTTAGTGTCAAAATCTTTTTGTATAAAACTACCTATACCCTTTGATCCAGCAATAGCACTGTTAGGTCTGTTTCCCTGATTAATGAAAAAGTTCTAAAATATTTATAGCAGCTCTCTTTATAGTGGCAAAGAATTGGAAATTTCAGGGATGCCTGTCAATTGCAGAATGGCTAAACAAGTTGCTGAAGTTGCTGTATATGATTGTGATGGAATACCATTGTGCTATAAGATATTTTTAGATAATTGTGGAAAATTTTAGAATTTTTAGAATTTTAGATAATTTTAGAAAAACATGGAAAAGCTTGCATAAAATAATGAAGACTGAAATGAACAGAACCAAGAAAAATTTGTATATAGTAACAACATCATTGTTTTAAGAACAACTTTGAGTGACCAAGTCATTTTGATTATTATAAATACCCACCTGAACTACAATGGACCTATGAAGGAAGGTACTATCTGTAACCAGAGAAAGAACTGATTAATAGAAGTATACATAGTATGGTTATAGGCGAGCACACACACACACACACACACACACACACACACACACACACACACACATTTGTGTCTAATAGTAACCATCTCTGGCGGGTAGGGGGGAGGGAAAAAAGTTACACGATACCTTTGTTATATATTTGAAAGGAAAAACAATTTATATATAATATATTTGCAGTTTTTTTTCTTTTTTCTATTCTATTTTGTGGAAATGCTTGTTTTATTTCTTAAGTTCAGAATAAAAAAAATCTTTTTGAATCCTTACACATCTAATGTTAAAGCTATCCCTCCTACCTCTCGACTAGCAAAGTTGACAAAGACTTATGCCTTTATCCCAGTCTTTGATAGAAATGTTAAATAGTTACAAACCTAGAACAGATCCCTACTGAAGATCTCCAAAATTAGCTAAATTGACTACTCTTTAGGTTCAATTAGTTTTTAATTCTAATTATATTATTGCTTACTCCACCGATCTCCCTCCACCTTTTCCACAGAAATAGCATGGGGGGGCTATTTTTACTAAGGATTCTTTCAACTCTAAAACCTAGAATCCTACATTTTCAGGAAAGCTTCCATAACAAAGTTGTTAAAAACTTTTCAGTGCTATAAATGAAAGTGATGAATTTTTCTTCAATGGGAAAAGTGTGAAGAGAGGCACTTGTTAAGGGCAGACACAACGTATTAACCCAATTGTCTACTTCCTTGATGACCAAGGCAGGAGAATGAATTTAAGTGAGGCAGTAGGGAAGCAGCAAGTGTACTGAATTTGAAACCAGAGGACTGGGGTATGAATGTTGACTTAGCAACTTACAACTTGTGCTGTGTTACTCTGGGCAAGTCATTTAAAACTCCATGCTCCTTAGTTTCCTCTTCTCTAAAATGAGTGGGTTCACCTAGATCTTTAAGGTTCCTTCTACTTTTTAATAATATGATCATGTGAATACTTGACATTACAAGACGTAAAAGAGAACGGGGGACTGGTGGAAGGTGTGGCAGTCAAGAGAGGGGACAACTTGTTAAAATAAAAAAGTCGCTTGGTGGCAGCAGAGGATTGAGAGTTCAGCTTCCTGTGTCAGTGGGCATATTTTACAATGTCTCCTCACTAGCCCGGCCTTTTCCCCCTGTCTCCCACTAGTCTCCTGTTCTCCTTTTAAATGAAAAATAATCAAAGGGGAATTAAAGGACAAAAACCTCGTGTACAGTCGAATACAGGAGTATTTGTGTCCAAGAGCGCCGACAAGACCTTGAATTGATTTTAAGATGACTTTGCTCTCATCCACATTCACATCACACCACATCGTAACACACACCAAGCGAGGATTTGTCAGGGGTAAAGTGGAAACCAGATTTCTGATTAGAAATCAGACCTTTAAAGGACAGGACTATCCATGCTTAAAAACAGTGCATATCCGTGGAAAAGGCATGAGATACTTCTACGAGTTCAAATATTCAAAATACAAAGTCTTGCAGAAATCTGGCTGCCGCATAGAAGGTAAGGTTTGGGGGAGACACCACGCGGGGAGATTCTTCTAGACCACAGCCCACAAGACATAGGCCACAAAGAGGCATAGATGCATGCAGTTTTTTCTCACTTAAGGGCCTTTCACAGCAAACAACATAAAGGGAGGAGAGGGAAGGACGAAAGGGGCTAGACTGATAGGGGAGACAGGAAACAGAAAAAAAACCTTTGGGGTTTTACAAACCTTTTGGACTCCAACAGAATGTAGTATCTACAGTTCTTTTTTTAATAAAATTGTGTGGCTCTTAAAAGAGCCTTTGGATTTTTCAAGTCGAGAATCTTCCAGGGTAACCTACTTGGAGCTGGTGTACTTGGTGACGGCCTTGGTACCCTCAGACACGGCGTGCTTGGCCAGTTCCCCGGGGAGCAGCAGGCGCACTGCCGTCTGGATCTCCCGGGACGTGATGGTGGAGCGCTTGTTGTAATGCGCCAGGCGGGAAGCCTCGCCAGCGATACGCTCAAAGATGTCGTTGACGAAGGAGTTCATGATGCCCATAGCCTTGGAGGAAATGCCAGTGTCAGGGTGGACCTGCTTCAGCACCTTGTACACGTAGATAGAATAACTCTCCTTGCGGTTTCTTTTGCGCTTTTTACCATCCTTCTTCTGCGCCTTGGTCACGGCTTTTTTAGAGCCCTTCTTCGGAGCAGGAGCGGACTTAGCTGGCTCAGGCATCTTAGATGTAATGCAGTGCAAGTGAATACACGATTTCTTTTTCAGGGCCCCTTAATACTTATACAGGGCGTATGCAAATAAAGGTACCTACAAAGCACCTTTCTGATTGGAGAATTCTTAGTAAGGTTATCATGACTAAGCGTTGTCCAATGTAAATGACAGATTCCAATCCTGCTTTCCTATTGGTTACGTAAATATACGTCGAATCCAATGACATAGTGATTTTCCGCACTCCCTAAAACTGCGGCACAATGCCCTAACCCTGGCTGTGCATTAGGATTTTTTTTTTCCTACCAGACTTTACTGCTTTCAATCTGTGCTTTTCGTGTGGATACGGAAAGCTGGGACAAAAACCTCCAATTATGGTTGCTTGGAGGTGTTGCAGTTTCTAGTACGGCGCATGCGTATTGTATGCGTATATGTAATATGTATATGTAAAGATGCCTGCTCAGAGCATCTCAGGAAGCCTTGATGGTGGAGTTGTTGTAACTGCGTGGCCTGGGAAATGGCAGATAGGAATTCCACCCTATAACCGCAGGCTGTCTTCTTTGACTCAACCAGCCGCGGGGCGGTGACCATCGCCCAGAGCGGCTTCTTGCCATCTTGCCACCGCACGAGACCACAAGCCTGCATTTTCACAAGAAGCCAAAAAGCTCTTTTAAGAGCCGGCTACCCACTCTCCAGAATCGTTTTCGACAGAAAAAAGTTAGCAGTACTTTGTGCATTTGCTTTATTCCTTCAGTTTTACTTTATTGAAACCAAACTATTGTCAACTCCGCCCATCATTAACATTTATCTAAAAAGAATCCAGTGACATAGAATTAAGTAGTTTTGAGCATATTTACAGGCGTGTGATAGTTTTTTTCCTTGGGGTAGCAATGGAGGAATTTCTTGGGAAAGCCATTTTTTTCCATGTCGTGGATACAAAACATATTGTAGGTGCAAAAATTGCTTTCAAAGCTATGTTAATATTTACAATGAGATCAGAGAAAATAAAATTATAAATATGCAGTTTTCTTCAGGGAAAAGCAGTGTATGAAGTGGAAAGGTCACTATCAGAAGCCATGAGAAGCTGGTTATTGTATTGCCTGTATCTGTGACGCTGTGAAATCTTTTGGGGTTTTTGTTTCTTGAACTACAAAATGAAGAATTGGGTTATATTAGATTTGTTCTGGATCCAATATCTTATTCTATGACTTGGTCATAGGGATAGTCTAGAAAAAGACTGGAAAAAAACCAAAAGTGGTTGAGGGAGTTTTGCTAAAACCTGGAGAAAGACAAATACAGAACCAGGGTCAGCTGCAAAACTGCTGAGCACCAACCATTTATCATTGTCCCAATAGGCTTTTTCATATACCAAACAAAAGAGAAACTGTTCTTGTTTTCAAGAAAAGATTCAATTTTTATTACAGTAAACAGGGAAAATATCAGTGGCCAAGAACAGTGTAAGTCAGGATTGGAAGAATATGGGAAGGAAGGGCATCAGAACAAATTTGGAGTCAGATAAGGTGAGTTTGAATCTTGGCCCTGATGGGGTTGGAATCTGAGCCCCTGAAAGGAAAAACTGGCCCCAGACCACTTCCCACCCTTGGTCCCACCTAGGCTCCATTTGCCAACCTTGGGAGTTCTATTACCTCATGGACTACTTGGCCACTCTCCCACAGTCTTTCTGTATGTAAGGTCCATCTTGTCTCCACTAAGATGCTCTGATTCTTAGAATCTGGCCAATAGCCCATAGATGCTCAGATTCCTTAAGAGTCTAGCTAATATGGCGAATCTTCAATAAACTTTGTTTTTGGCTGCAAGAAAGCTTGAGTTGAATTCTTTCCGGCAGGACCTGGGTGTCGTGATTTTGGGGTTCCAGGACCCCTAACCTCTAGACCTTATCAGCTCTACTACTTAACAGCTTGAGTTTTCCTGGCTAGCTTAAAAAATTTAATCACTTTTTTTCCAATGTAGACCTAGGACTTTTTCTTACTCTATCTCCCATTTTTGAGACCTCCAAATGGCAGAATTGCCATTAAGTGAACCAAAGGGCCAAGTCTATCTCCAGTCTAGGCAGAGAATCAGCGACTGCCTTAAAACGGATGGGGAGAAGATTTTTATTTTCACTTAGGCTTTTGCCCAAAAGTAGTTGTCTGATTTTTCTGGGATTCAAGCTAACCATAACTTGCACAGGGGCCACTATCAACAGGGATTACCCTACTGAGGGACTTTTTCACAATGTCCTGCTGCAAGAAGGGCTATCCACAGTTTTCCCATCAGTCTCCAAAATATTTGAAAAGGTTAGGGAGAGTTTATTCTCAGCTCTCCTCTGGGTTCCTAGACCTTACTTTCACTCAAATATGACTTTGTATACACTCCAACAATAACCCAGGCCCACAATTTAGAGAAAAAGAATCTACTAATTTTGTCAGGGAGGAAAGAAAGACCCAAGGAACAGGAGGTTAAGGGTAAGCCCTTAGACCCAGTTGAGTTATTGACTTGAAAATGAGGAGGCCTTCCCATTTAGATAATCAGGTTTACACACCCAGCCCTAGCTTTCTACTGTTCCTAAGATAAGTCTTGGGAAGTAGCTGTTGGGATGCTATACTGAGTCTTGGTCATATAACCTAATAGGCATGAAAAATTTTCAAATTACCAAAGGTCTATCCTATTTCCAATTTGATTACTCATGGACAATTTTGAAGCAAAAATGATGCTAAGCATCCCTTTGAAATGAGAGAGAAAAATGGTCACCACAGGAGGCTACCTGTGTAAAATCTTACCTTATGTGCTCTCTAACTGTTCTGGGTTATGGTAAACTCAATCGCTTTTCTGGAGAGTCCCAGTCATCCCACTTCTGATACAAAAATATTCAGGAACTTCCTAGCCTGGTTTCCTGGAGTACTCAAGAAGAATCTCAAAAACCAACCTGGATTCAAATAATTGGGGGCTGTATAATTTAGTAGCTAAACTGAAAAGAAGATGTATTAGCATGTTAAGAAAGACTGTTCACTTAAAGCTTCCCCTTCTGAGGGTACAGATTTTTTTAAAAATAACTTTTCAGGTGTGTACAGCCAATCAGTGGCATTCTGTGGCAATTTATAATGTATAAGCAATATTTTTCACAGGAAAGGGAGAGATAAGAAGATATGAGGGAGAAAGGGGGAAATCAGCCAAGTGAAAGATTTGGGGGAGTGTTCCAAAGGAATATTTGATGTGTTCGTGACTGTTATCAGAATTAGAAAACATCCCTTGTTCAAAGATGGAAAGGAGAATAAATGATTAAATACTTTTGTGATTGATAAAGAAGTTCACTTGATCACTGTCGACAGCAGCATTGAGGTCACCATTTAGATAAAACTGCTGATGTCTCTTATCCAAGCACAACTTGGATATCAAAATATTCCTACAGAGGCTGTAGCACTGGGACCTCTCTCTGTCATGTATCCAGGCATGTGATTTGTTTAATTTAACTTTAGTACTGGGGAGCTCAGTAAATTCCCATCCTGGTACCTTGGGAGACAATTGCTTATAGTTTAGGTTATGATTCATGTCTAGGATTTCCACAGAAAAAGAGTAGGAAAGTACTCAATATACAATATGAATTAGGTGTGGTGCAGGTATTATATTCCTACACACATACAAATATGCTAAACACAAAAGACTCACTACTACTGTCTTACTGTTAAACTTACTGACAGAAGTTCATTAGTTATAGTTTTAGGAGTAAGTAACTGCAGGTAGCTTTAACCTAAAGGTGGAAGATGCCCTCTGGTAGAGCCAACTCTTGAGTGTAAGTTAGGGGAGTAGCCTCAGGACTCAGATAACACATATCTTATACTACGTTCATGTTGAACTTTCCTTACACCTAAGTAGAATATAAATTCCTGGAGAGCAGGGGCTATTTTCCTTCTATATGTAAATCCAATACTTTCCCCATTATCTGTCATCTTCCAGCTAGACTATGAGCTCCATGAGGGCTGATCCTATACAATCTAAATTGTCTATCTGTCTTAGCTTCTAGCATAGATCTCTGAACATAGAATGCTCAATATATATTGAATGACAGAATGCATATTCTATTGCCACTATCTAACTTCTTATCCTTATTGTAGAATTTTAAAAATATTTTGAAACTCTTGACCAAATTCATTTTTTTCATACCACAGTGGATCTTATTCCAGTCACACAGTGGCATTTGCTATAATTGAGCACTTAAATATTTATTGAATGAATTACTATATTTTCTGTTGCCACTATTCCTTTCTTCTTGTTTGGGAAGGATTTTTAGTATTTTGAAACCCTTGACCAAATTAATTGTTACATACCACATCCATTGTCAAGAACGGTTCCATCACCAGCCTGAATTAAATTTTTAAAGAACTGATTGAGTTGATCTCCGTGCTGTCCAAAGGACTCTCAAAAGTTTTCTCCAGCACCACTATTCAGAAATATTGATTCTGTAGAGTCCAAATTTCCTTATACTTCAACTCTTACAGTCATACGTTGCTACTAGAAAAACCACAGCTTTGGCTATATTGACCTTTGTCAGCAAGGTGATTTCTCTGCTTTTTAGTATGTTTTCCAGATTTGCCATAGTTTTCCTTCCAAGGAGCAAGTGTCTTTTAATTTCATGGCTGCAGTCACTGTCTGCAGTGATCTTTGAGCTCATGAATAGAAAATCTGACACTGCTTTCATTTCTTCTCCTGCTGTTTGCTAGCAACTGCTGGGACCAGTTGCCAAGATCTTAGTTTTTTTGATGTTAAACGTTCAAGCCAGCTTTTACACTCTCCTCTTTCATCCTCATCCAGAGGCTTCTTAATTCCTCTTCACTTTCTGCCATCAGAGTGGTATCATCTTGCATATCTGAGATTGTTGATATTTCTCCTGGCAACCTCAATTCTGGCTTTTGATTCATCTAGCATGTCATTTTGCATGATGTAATCTGCATATAAATTAAATAAATGTTATAATATGTAGCCTTGTATTCCTTTTCCATTCTTAAATCAATCACTTGTTCCACGTTGGGTTCTAAACAGGGGTTATAACCCCCGAATTTGTGGTTCCTATTATGGTTGTTTTATTATTGTCCAGATAGAGCTACCTTCTGCAAATAATTATGCGCATGGTCTCATTTTCCAGGCTCGAGCAAATATTGGATGCCATTGAGGCAGACAAAAGATCCGCCTTTCTTCCTGCATTCTCTCTGAATAGCTCATTCAATAAATCCTGAAGTTATTTCTACTTATTTTGAGATTTTTTTTTCTATGTTCACTGAAATCCTGAATGTAAGCATACAGGAATGGGAAGAAACCAGGAAGAGAGCATCTAAGCCTAAGAAAGACAGGGGAAGGTTGTGAATAGGGCCCAACTACAGGGAGATCAAATTAAATTCGGACTGAGAAATTTGGATGAGTTCATGAGGGAGATGGTTTTGAATATTTCAGTGCCCCAGTACCTACCCCTACTTCAAGGTGGAGAAGGTGGAGCTGTAGTGGACATGATTCAGTCTAGAGGTTAGGGGTGCTGGGACCCCAAAATCACAACATCCTGCCCGAAAGAATTCGATCCAAGCCTTCTTTTGGCCAAAAACAAGGTTTATTAGAACATCCATCATATTGGGCAGACTCTTAAGGAGTCTGAACATGGATAGGCAGTGGCTAGATTCGAAGAATCAGAGCATCTTAATGGATAGACCTTATATACAGAAAGACTGCAGGAGAGTGGCCAAGTAGTCCATGAGGTAATAGAATTACCAAGGGTGGGAAGTGGTTTGGGGCCAGAGTTTTTCCTTTCTGGGGCCCAGATTCTAACCCCATCAGACAGAGCATTGACCCTAAGTCAGAAGATCTCATTTTGAGTTCTAGATCCAATGTTGAGTTAAAATTGCTTCATCTTTCTGATTTTATTTCATTGGCAAAGCAACAGTTTCCTCAAGAGAATGCTATGAGAAAATCATTTTGTAGACATTCTAAAATGTGAATTATTATTATTTTTCGTCTTAGTTACCAGTTTCTTAGAGACAATCTCTGAGGCTGGAGCCTACTTGAGGAACAAAAACAGTATCAGTTTCTCAGAACAGTACTACGAAAATAACAAAAAAAGAAAGGCAGGAGTCAGGTTACAGCAGTTTGAAGATTTTTATGTAAATGAAGGCTTAGTTTATCTAATCTGTGATTGGGTTAAATAGTCACAAGTGGGAAGAGCGTCTGTAATTAAGCAGATTCTTGACCTACTTTCTGATTGGCTACCTCATCGAAAGCTGTTTTTAACCAATCCGAAAGCTTACTTTATCCTTCCACAAAATGGTATAATAGGTTCTGTTGCTTGACGTTAGGTAGTCGCTTTTTGTTCTCGTTGAAAGCTGGTTTTAGTCGCCATGTCTGGAAGAGGGAAGCAGGGAGGCAAAGCACGCGCTAAAGCAAAGACCAGGTCTTCTCGGGCTGGTCTTCAGTTCCCGGTGGGTCGTGTCCACCGTCTGCTCCGCAAAGGCAACTATGCCGAGCGCGTTGGGGCCGGTGCGCCGGTATATCTCGCCGCCGTGCTCGAGTATCTGACTGCTGAGATTTTAGAGCTGGCGGGTAACGCAGCCAGAGACAACAAGAAGACTCGTATCATTCCCCGTCACCTTCAGCTTGCCATCCGCAATGATGAAGAGCTCAACAAGCTGTTGGGTAAGGTAACCATCGCTCAAGGCGGGGTCTTGCCCAACATCCAGGCTGTACTGTTGCCCAAGAAGACCGAGAGTCACCACAAAGCTAAGGGCAAATAGAGTATCTGTAACTGGGCTTGAGGATATACTCTCTTCACCTTCCTTAAATAAACCAAAGGCTCTTTTCAGAGCCACGCATCCCTTCAAAACGAGAGCTGATGGCATATGTTGTAAAACTACTTGGGTTTTTAATATCCAGAAAAGGCTTTTCAAGCAGATTAGTTCTTGGGGTGCCAGAGTAAGTGCATGCTCTGGATAACGTTATTATATAGGTCCCGAAAGCCACTCTAGAAAGCTGACCTGCTTTGTCATGAAGTCATTTTAAAGATTGAGTGTATTTAAAAAACTATAACATGTAAAAATGGTGCTTCTTCAGTTACCTAACCATAGGAGTATGCCACTGAAACAACCCGGGAATTCTATCAATTAGGTGGGCTGCGAGGTTAAAAACGGACCAGTTAATAGCTTTGCAGCTGAGAAAAATTAAAGGGGGAGGATTTTTCATACTGGAATTACAAGATTAAAGCGATATAAAGACAAGTAGTTTTAAAATTCATCCGTAATCTGCCTATGAGGGTGAATTTAAGAAAGGGGGGGGTCTGGAAAATGAAAAGGTGTGGGAGAGAAATGCCCAAACTAACCAATCCTGTGTTAGCGCGGTCTTTTCAAATCTAAAAGAAAGTATTATAGCCTTTAAAGTGACGGTAGTAATTTTGGAGAAGCATACATAGTACTAGAAAAAAAAGATATATTCATGACAAAGCTCTCGGCTCCATTAATAAAGAGGTCAGGATCGGGAAGAATTCAACCGTTTAAAAGAACACTTTACAAAATTGAGGAAGGAGGAGGGGCGTGATGGACAGTCACCCAATCAAATTACCCAGAATACAAGGACTGGAATTGTCGACCAATCCTGAGTCACAGTTCTGGATTTGTGCTTGTTGTTCAGTCCAATCAGAACTAGCTTTACTCTATAAATAAGGTGACTCTCGCCCAAACTTCCATTTTCTGCTTTGTGCTCTCTGGTCAAGATGGCTCGTACTAAGCAAACTGCCCGTAAGTCTACCGGCGGCAAGGCGCCCCGTAAGCAGCTCGCTACGAAGGCTGCCCGCAAAAGCGCGCCGGCCACCGGCGGCGTGAAGAAGCCTCACCGTTACCGGCCAGGCACCGTGGCCCTGCGGGAGATCCGGCGCTACCAGAAGTCCACCGAGCTGCTGATCCGCAAGCTGCCCTTCCAGCGGCTGGTGCGCGAGATCGCGCAGGACTTCAAGACTGACCTGCGCTTCCAGAGCTCGGCCGTCATGGCCTTGCAGGAGGCGAGCGAAGCCTATCTAGTCGGGCTGTTTGAGGACACGAATCTGTGCGCCATCCACGCCAAGCGGGTGACCATCATGCCCAAGGACATCCAGCTGGCTCGCCGCATCCGCGGGGAGAGGGCTTAATTTGTCATCTAAATCCCAAATACCCCCAAAGGCTCTTTTCAGAGCCACCCACTTTTTCACAATAAGTAGTTGTGACCTAGTGAAATTCGGGGAGGGTCCGTAGCAAGTAAGGATGGATGCTTCCGCTTTTTTTCAAAGTATGGTTTGAGTTCAGTGCTGCAAAGAGAGGTAAGTGAGGTAGTTTTTAAGTCCAACTTTTTTTTTTAGTCTGTGAAGGCAGAGATGGGAGAGCAAACCCCATTATTTTTGGGACCACAGTGACGTGGTCCCTTTATAAGCCTATAAAGGAAGGTAAGCAACTAGATTGTGAGGAGTTTTAAATGTCAAAGAAGTCTCCATTTGGTCCTAGGAATAATAGGACGCATTTGGAGAGTTTCTTGAGTAGGGGAGTGACATGGAAGGAATATACCCTTTTTAGCTTTGTGGAGCATGAATTGAAGAGGGAAGACTGGGGACTTGGAGTTTAATAGTGGGCTCTTGAAGAGGGTCACTCAAGATTTTAAAAGCTTTGTTGCCTATTTCACTAAGGCATGTTATAATGTATCATCGCTTTAACTATTTAACTTTGTCCATTCATTACACATACTAGGCTTACAACTGAATCAGACCTGATTTTATTTCAGTAAACTCTTTAGATTAGCTATGTTGTCTTTACTAAATGACTCCAGTTCTGTTGTGGTCTGAGAGGTTGAGACCCCTCAAAGACTGGAGTACAGGACGGGGTCGTCTGGAATGAATTCACAGACTCAAGCATTCTGTAAGTCAAGGTGGCAAAGATTTATTGTTACGCTTTTCAGTGGACAAGGATTCTTAAGGAACCTGCAAGAGACTGAGGATGGAGCTAGGGTTTATATGGAAAAGGGCATGGGAAAAGAATGCCAGGGATACTTGTTAGGTAGTCTAAAGGTCCAGGTGTCTTTGGAAGCTATGGATGGGAAAGTGTAGGGAGTATACCAGACAGGGACGGAGATGTCAGAGGCATGAATCTTGGGAATCTGGCAGGATTGGGCCAGCCAGGGACAAAACTCCTTGGGCCTAACAAGACATCCCTTTCTCTCTGTAATGATTAGAGAATGCTCTGCAACAAGGGAAAATTTTCTCAAAGACAGGAGCTTACTAAGGAATTGGGAAGCTTCCAGAGACATGATTTTAGGGTTGAGGCCTGAGCAGCCCAGCACTCTCACCAGCTTTGTGCAGCTGCACCAGGGAGAGACATAAGGGTCGTGCTGGGGCCCACTCATGAGTAATTGCTACGCACAGTGCCCCTGAGCTGGAGAGAAATTGTCAGAGACAATGTTTCTGATACTAGGGAGAAATTGGGGTCCAAGTACAAGCACAAGCACTCAAGCACCCTATCAGTTCCTCAGGTCCCAGTTTTCTTGTTTGTAAAACAAGGAAGTTGGGCTAGATGATCTGTGAAGTCTCTTCCAACTAAAAATTCTGTAGTTGCCAATTTTTTTTTTTTGGTTTTGAAGGGTGTGTGCATGTGTGTGATTCTGAACTTGAAAACACAAATATATACAAGGAGGAATAGAAAGAGGATAGAATGTGAGAATCATGAATCTCCACTATGCATAGCTTGTTTCTGTTTGAAAAGTATATAAACTTAACACAATTTAAGGCCTATCTTGTTGACATCTTACTCTTAGGTGAATTCTTTTAAAAACATCACCAATACTGTTTTCTTTCTTTTTATGTTTGGCACCACCATCATTAGCTGGATTATCTGGCCCCCTTCCTCAGTTTGTAGTAAGTTAGCAGAGACAAGCAAAAACAAATCCACATATGGGCCATGTTAGAAAATGTATTTCATAATTTGCACCACCAGACTATCTATCATCTCTGTTAGAAAGTAGGAAGCATATTCAGCATTGGTCCCGCACTGATCAAAGTTCATAAAGTTTTTTTTTTTTTTACAATGTCATAATCATTGTAAACATTGTTCTGGTTCTGTTCACTTTATTCTGCTTTTTTTTTTTCATAGCAGTCTTCCTAGGTTTCTCTGAACACACTTCTTCTGTCATTTCTTATGGTGCAATAATGCTCTATTTTATTGCTATACTATAATTTGTTTAGCTAACCCAATTCTTTGCCATTACAAAAAAACACAAAATACTCGTGGATTCTTTCTGTCATTTATATCTTTGGGGCCTAGTGATGTTAGTGCTGGGTCAAAGGGTATGCATAATATAGTGAGTTTTTTGTTATAGTGCCAACTTGCTTTCCAGAATGACTGGATGAATTCACAGTGTGATAATATTTCTACACTCCTGTGTTTTCTCCAGTAATGGTCATTTTCTTTTTTGGTCATCTTTGCCAATATTGCTGAGGGGTGAAACCTCGAGTTTATTTATTTTGCATTCCTCTCTCCCTTTCTCTCTGTCTTTTAAATACAGGCTGTATTTCAAATGGTTGTTGATACTGTAGATTTTTCTTTTGAAAACCAATTCTATATATCATTTGCCCCTTTATCTATTAGGGAATAGTTCTTATAGAGGGGGTCCCAAAAGTCTCAGGACTATTTTACATTATTAAAGGTTAAAGCTGATTCAAATACACAATGTCCCAGAAGTCTTAGTGCAGATTTAAGCTTTATTAAGGTATAACATTTGAATCATTTACCCATAGATCTTGATAGCAAAACTTTACCATTTTCAGAGAAAATTGTTGAAAATACTTTCCCCCAGTTTGCATTGTAATTTTAAGTGTACTTCTGAGTTGTTTCTGATGTCATCTTCTATGTATCCATTTGGAGCTTATTGTGTTATATGGGGTGAGATGTTGGCTTAAATTGATTGTCTGCTAGACCACCTTCCATTTTTTGCACAAGTTTTTGTTGGAATAGTGAGCCTGTAGACAAGTGACTGGGGATTCTGGATTTATCAACACTATACTACTAAGTTTGCTTCTGTATCTTACGTGCCTAATCTGTCCCACTGATCATCTTACTTTCCATTTTGAATGAGTACCAAATGATTTTGATGATTATTGCTTTATAGTAAAGTTTGAATTCTGGTATTACTAGGCTCCCTTCCTTACTACTTGTTTATATTATTTCCCTAGTAATTTTTGATTTTTGTTTGTCCAGATCAATTTTGTCATTATTTTTGCTAGCTCTATAAAGTAACTTTATTTTTATTTTAATTGATATAACATGGAAGAAATAAATTAAAGTAGTATTATAATTTTTGCTACATTGGCATGCTCAGTTGTGAGTAGTTAGTAACTCCAATTATATAGTTTTGTCTGTTTTTCTGTAAATAGTGTTTTATATTTGCATTCATATACGGTAATTCCTGTGTCTTTGTAGGTATATTCCCATATATTTTATAATTCTGTATTGTAAGTGGAAGTTCCCTATCTCCTCCTGATGAAGGTTTTTTTTTTTTTGGTAATATAGAGAAAGGCTTACAATTTATAAGGAGTTATTTTGTAGCCTGCTATTTTGCTGCAGTTATTAATTGTTTCAGTTGATTTTTAGTTCAGTCTCTAGGTGTCTCTAAGTAGACCATCACCATGTATCATCTGCAAAAATTTCTTTTTTTCTTGTCATTGCTAAAAATAGCATGCCTGGCATTATATTAAATAATAGTAGTGATAATGGATATTCTTCCTTTACCCCCAATCTATTGTAAAGACCTCTCATTGTTTCTCAATTACACAAAATTCTAGCTCTTGGTTTTACATAGATAGTATTTACTACATTAAGGAAAGGTCCATTTATGCCTATTTTTTTTTAATGTTTAAACATGTTATATTCATCTGAGAAATAGTTCAGTCCCTCATCACTTCTTACAGACTACTGAAATGGCCTTTTATCAGGTCTCCCCTTCCCTAAGTCTCTTCCCATTCCAATCCAGCCTCCTTTTAGATGATAAGGTGATTTAAAAAAAATATTGTCTGATAATGTCAGTGAATTCCACTGGTACCCTATTACTTCCAGGATCAAATACGTGATATTCTGTTTTACGTTTAAAGTTCTTCAAAATTTAGCTCCTTCCTATCTTTCTAATTAATATTCCTTTACTTACTTTGCTCCGCACACTCTTCTTTCAGTTCCTCTAACATCATACTCCTCCATGTACTGTTTCCATGCCTTTAAAGTGGCAGTCCCTTATACCTGAAATGCTCTTCCTTCTACCTCTAACTTATAGTTTTGATGGATTCCTTCAAGACTCAGCTCAATTTCCACTTCTGTAGGAGGTCTTTTCCATTCTTTCCAATTGCTAACAATTTCCCTGCATGATAGATTCTGCTTTCTGCTTCAGTTATTCATTTTAACTATGTGAATCTTTCTGTTTCAAGTGTATTTATTGTAAAAAAAATATTGCTGTATCCTATTTTCTAATATATCCTGCTCTTACCTCTCATTTAAGGGTGAGTATTTCCCATTTACATTCTTGGTTACGATTGTTAATTATGTTTTCTCTCCATGATATCCTACTATACTTTTCCCTCTCTTTACTCTGCTTGCCTTTTTTTTTTTAACAAAGAAGATGGTGGTGAAAAATAAGAAATGTGATCAATAATAATGATCTATAATTAGAACTTCCATTCCACTGAACCTCCACCATACTTGAATCCCTGGGTCTTCCCTTTTCTCTCATTTGAATCCTTGTAACTGTTCTCTTCCTGACTCTAACCTACCTCTTAAACTTATCTCTCTTGTTGCCAAACAGTAGACTTTATTGATGTCTTAGAATAATGTATTTAGACAAACCTGTGCTGTTCTTTCAAAGGATCATATATTTAAGTAGTACAGACAAAATTTGGACTCTGCCTTCTATTGCTCTTTTGTCTATAGTACACTTATTCTTTTAATCTGTCATCTTCCCATCCCCCACTCCCTACATTAAACTTTATTCTTCTGAATTACCCCTCCTACTGGCCAAAGTCAATTACTTTTTCTACCTTTGTCTTCATTTTCCTTTACTTATCTAAATCATTAAGCATTGCTGGTAACCTTTCTTTCTTAAAACTCTCCTTGGTTTCCATGAGACTATACTGTCCTGGTTCTAACTGTATTTTTATGATTACCTCATCTCTTAATAACTTAATTTCTGCCTTCTCTCTAAATATTAGTATACCTCAAGGCTTAGCCTCAAACTCCTCATACTTCAA